AGAGTACACTGGTGATTCACCCTTCCTCTGAGCTAATCTCCCTCTGTTGGCTGTGGTGGGCAACAGGGAGCTCTCGTGAGTGCCATGTGTGACAGGAGTCTGGGCATGTATAATCTCTGTAGGTCTGGTGGCACCAGCCAAATTCCTCTTCTTATTCCCTAGTGCCCTTGGAGTTCCACCTGGCTACATTATAGGTTATTTCCTCACTGGTGATGGGGAGCTGACAGAGGTAGCTGCGAGCTGGCACAGGTACATGTTCCCCAGCAGGCACAATGGAGTGAAGGGGAGCCCTCTGGAAGGAAACTAAAGTTGTGAAAGTTAGTTTTGCAGAGTTGCTGCTATTTATAAAACTTGGTTGGCTATAAATGAAGGAGAAAGAGGTAAGGCCTGTGAAGTCAACCTGTCTTGGAGAGCGGCTTCATTCACCACTGCCATGGCTGAATAGTGCCATACATGTCCCTTATCTGTCTGTGTAACACAACGGATGCTTTCCACAGAATAACAAGCGAGCATAGCAAGGCAATTTCCTGGGCACTACACAGTCTATTTATTTCCTGATTCTCCATCACAGCCACTACTGGGAACAGTTGCTGCAGGCACAGCTCTCTGAGCTGAACAGTTTAAGCTGGCCCCTTGCTGTGACAGAGGGAGTATCTGTCTCTGAGAAGAAACAGGGGTTTTTCCCTTCCTACATGTATGGGACCACTTACATCCCCTTCCACCTCACATATGCCCCGAAGTCACACATTGTCACTGGTTTCCTTTCATGTTGTTATCCAGAATCCATGAATTTGCCTTCCTCCAACCGTAGCTGTGAGAGGAGCTGGGAGGGTGTCTTGCTTTGTCATTGCCTTCACTGAGGAAGCATGGAGGCTGTTGGCGTGGTAGTATAGCCAGCAGCACTTAGTAACCAAGCAACTCCTACGAAGATCAACTCAGAACAATCTCTGGAAACAATCTCATACCAGGTGCAGTGATACAAAGTCCTACTAATTTGTATGCAAACCTATGGATAGTATTAAGGAACCTGGTAATTTACTGCACCATCCCAAGCATCCCATCTGGGTGGCACATTGCCCCACCACTGTCCCTCCTTATTTAAGTAACCCCAAGCCTCTAAAGTACTGTGCAGAGCAAGGAGTTTCACAGTAGAAACCTGAGAGGAACATCGGAGTGCTTCAGGGTGCTGAAGGAAATGTGAATAAATGAGCAGAAAAGAGGGTTAGTCAGCATGTCCTGTACGAATTTGGTTTCATTTCCCCTTTACCCAGTGTATAGCTTCCCCTTTCTCCTGCCCCTTGTAAAGAGAAAAGGGGAAGAGACTGAGCATAAAGAAGACAGTGCAGACAAAACCTCTGGAGATCTCATGTGGAGCATCATAAGAACACATGCTGGGTTGTAGTTTGGGGAGAACATTTACACAGCTGAAGCTTGGAGAGAAATTTTAGGAAAGTAAAATGGAGATGTATGGCTAAGGGGATTACTTTGCACTCAAAATCCTCCTCTTCATCTTACAGACTCCTGGGTTCACTGGCAATCAAGACCTTCGCTTTCCCATCCATTCTGGAAACCAGTCATACCCTCTTCTTAACTTAAACGAAGACTTCTCTGTTCAGGCCATTTTGACCAACTGCAACAGTTAACACATATTTGGAAAAATTCTGCAACCAGCGTGTGTTTGTCTTCCCCTCACACTTTCAAAAATGATTGTGCTGGAGGAAGTAAGCCTCCCCCTCTTTTGCTCCCTCCAGCTGGAAAATCATGTCTAATCTTACCGCCCTTTTTCCTGCTGTGCATCCTGCCAATTTAAACTGGGTTTTGTTATGAACTGTAAATAACGTGGCTAAGTCTTTGGTTATTTTATTTTTTCTAGTTTGGTTCTCATTCTGCCCATGAACCTGAGTTTGGCTTGTATTTTGCATCCCACGATCAGCTCATCTCTCTCACATTTCAAACTCAGTTCCGGCTTGCTGTCCTACACTCTGCCCGGGGTCTGCCTGTTGTTCCTGGTGTTTTGGTTGGTGGTTGGTGAGCAGTCTCACTTCCCTTTGCAGTGGAGACATCTTACCCTACTGGGTACGTGGAGTGGCCTGTGTTGATCTCCACATGTACCGCAATGTTGAGGAATTGCTGCTGTCTCTCTCCTTGACGTGTGGAAGACCCCTACCCGGAGGTTTGTCCATGTTTCTCTCAAGCTCTGTATCACTGTGAAAACATACAGATGCTGCATAGCTGGCAAAATAGTCCCTGACTGTTTTCTTTTTGGTGACTTTCTTCTCCAAGCTCCTGGTGTGAGTGTGGGCTGCTTGCGAGTACTCCGAGTGCCAAGGTATGTAAGGACAACCATTTAGGTTGTTGTGTAGCACCTGGAGGCTCTCTGACATCTTCTTCATATGCACACTGACACAATTCCCTCTTTTCCCCACACTTTGCAGTGCTCCTGGAGGAAAAGAGGCTGAGAATGGAGGAGTCTGGAGTCTGCTGTGCCCTTTTTATACTAATGTACACATGGGGCTGATGCAGTGACAGTATGTCAGTGAAGCCACTGTGAGGGCTAGAATTGTTTCCAAAGTGACAGTCCATGGACCTACCTTTCCAGCGTCTGGAAAATGCCCTTTCCCTTACATTAAGGTCATGACTAACAAGCCTGCCTCTGCTTGCCTGAGCTTTCCTGCGGCAGAGACTGCTTGTGTAGGTGGTGTCCTCTCCTCCTGCATGGCCTTCAGGATGAATCCTCATTTCACTCCTAGTGGAGACACACACAGCTGTGGAATTAACTCACATGAGCAACATGAAGTAGGTGGGAGTCACCTCTATATGAATTTCCTGCGTGCTGTGATGTATTTAGAGTATGGATTGCATTGCATACGCCTGAGAACAGGAGTCTTATTACAATACCAGGTACATCTTACATGCACCCAACCACACCTCTGCCTAAACTTTTTTTCTGGTCTAGTTAACAGTCACCTACAGAATTGCCCTCATTTGTCCTCTTTAACTCAACTGTTGTCCTAGCAGCACCTGTAGCCCCTTTTATTGCTTAGATGTGTAGTGGTAGGCAGAGGTGCTTGCTGTTTCTAGCATGTATGAACCATGCTCCCATCTGAAGAAGGTGACTGTGCCACCTCCAGGATGCAGCCCTTTCCTTCACAGGGCTACACACAACATTCCCAGTTTTGAAAAGCAGCTGCTTTCCACCACCCAAAGAACATGAACCTCTGGTGCCATCCCAGGTAATGTAAGTTTCACACAACTGGTGTAGGTCCACCTCATGTCAGAGTCTTATACACCACTTTAAGATGGTCCCCTCCCCACCCCCAGCATGGGCTGGATGTGTCCCTGCCCTAAAGAATGAATTTTCATTTTTTTTCAGAGATGATGACAGAAATCTGTCTTTTCTCTTGATCAACTCTTTCAAATTTTGGCTAAAGAAAAACGTGGCAAGATACCAGAGCTGGAAAGTGCGATACCAAAGCCAACTGTATGCACATACCACATCTGCTGGGACCAAAGCATGCAGCACTTGGCTGAACTTTGTCTGTTCAGCTCTCTGTGTTTCAGTTTCCATGTTTCAGCTGAGGGTCACGTGAAGTATCTCTGTCTACACTTGCTTCACACTGACCACCATGGGATGAGACCATTCATGTACATCCTGCAACTGGGAGCAGGTCCCCATGGGCCACTGATGGGGCAGGCACATTGGAAATGTGTTTGTGGCACTTACTGATCTCATTACTGGCAGTTTCAGAAAAGGACCTTTGAGCCAAAGAACCTGAGCACTTAGAGGTGATCTGACTGCTAGAGGAGGTCTAAACAGGCCCTATGGGCTGCTGAAATGGACTCCAAAGCTGTTGGTCCTGCCCTGTCAGCACCATGTTCTCCTACAAAAGAAAAAAAACAGGACACAGGAAGCACCAACACAAGGTGGGAGAATCAAGACCTCAGTCAAATGTACTAGTAATACTTAGCACTGTACATCACTGTACTGTTACTTACAAACATTAACTAATACATCCTCACAACACCCCTGCGAGGTAGGGAAGTAGTATTAGCCCCGGTGTACAGACAGGGAAACTGAGGCACAGAGAGGCTAAGTGACTTGCCCAAGATCACACAGCAAGGCATTGGCAGAGCCACAGTAAGAATGGAGATGCCCCTTGTTCCCCACCCCATGCTGCCCCCCACTAGACAGTGGTGTCTGTCTGGCCACAGGGAACTCAAGAGGTCCCTTCGAAAAGCAATGCCGGGACTTGTTGCCCATTAATCATTTTTATTTGCCTTTAATGAATAATTTCACAGTTTTTCCCTCACACTGTACACCACGCTCTCACAGTCCATTCAGTGTTCTGTGGTAGCCCACAGCCTTCTCCTCTGGCACCGGGACAGCTCTGCAGGGGTTTTGTAGGATGCTCTGTGCTTTCATTAAGAGGATGTTAAGAAACAGTTTTCACTGGCATTAGACTGGGAGCATGTGAGCTCTCACTGAAGACAGATAACACACACTGGAGAAGCAGGCAGAGGGAACTGATGGTAAAAAGGCATTTGCCATCCCCTGTGACATGACCAGTGACTCTCTTGGTTTCTTAGCTCTTCTAAGCTCCAGTGATCACTCAGAGCAGGAAACTGTTTGTCTCCAACTTGCCTGGTCAGGAAGTGGTTGTTCTGGGGGTTGCTTCCCTAACAGGTAATAGGCAGTCATCTCAGGACCAGAAAGGTCCCCAGCATTGCCTACTCCAGGTGTGTGACACTGTCTTGGAACAAGGCTGGCTGTAGCCATTGTGCTCTCCTGCCACGGGGAAGGGGTATTACCATGGTTGGCAAGCAGCCGTATCCAGCGTCCAAGTCTCTTTTATTTTCCAAACTGGGATTCAATGAAGAGCAAGGGCAAGTGGATGGATGAGGAGATGAGGATGAGGCAGAGCAAACAGGAAAATCCACCAAATGAGCTTCTGGGAAGGAAATGTTCTGCCTTGGGCACTTCAGCTGATGTGGCTTCATTTTCACAAGGCTTCTTTCTCTCTCTGGGAACATCTGCTGAGCTTCATCTCTGTCAGCTGAATATATCGTATGACATTGGTCACACACACACGTACGGTGGTTACAACTCCCTGTGGAAGACAAGACACACTGCACCTTCACCCTTGGTGCATCACCTGGGTAGCGACATGGCTCCAGCGCTGCCTGCAGGAACAGCATCGGTTGGAAGGGGCTCTGAACCAAACCCTGCACCTTTAGTTTTGGAGAACCTGGTCTGATTTGTGCTCGCCATCCCTGTAGCTCATAATCTTGCCTCAGCTAGTTTTTACCTTCTCTCTGATTACTTTTGGTCAGCTCAGTTGAATTCACACAGTTGAAACTATCCAAGTCATCCTTGCCTATTCCTGTGGAACAGTACCTCTATTGGCTTCCCTTCCCTCAGTGCCTGCATGCAAGCCCCTAAAGGCATTTTGTGTAGTTATGCTCTGCCTCTTCACTCTCCTATTCCTTTTACAGCCTATTTCACTCTTCTCACATTTTTCCATGATGAGTTGAATTGGGAAGAACATCCTTCTTGTTCTCTTTGTACCCTTGCTTTCCTTAAATTTCATATTTGGAAGTCCTTCCACTATGACACTCTTATCTGCGTTTTTGTCCTATGCTATATGCTACTAACTGCCTTGTCTGTTCTATCTAATGAAGTTCTTAGGGGCAGAGAACCACTGATGCATCCCTTTAGAGAGCTGTGCAGGTGGTAAGCTGAGTCCTCTTTTTCCTTCCAATATTTCAGTGCATCAACACAGGACGTGAGTTTTGGTTTACCTCCTGGACTCAGCAACGAGGGAACCTGTTCACCCTGAGGCATAGGGTGATCTAGACAAGTATTTGTCTCCAGACAGACCCCAAGAGTCTGCAGTCATGGTCAATCCTTTCTCATACCATGTTGGTTTACTATCATGAGAGTGACTTCCCATGCACGCAGCACCCACATAATGGTAAAATCCATGTGCTATCAGAAGCAAGCAAGCAAGCATTCTTAATGAGCCAAGAAGTTCTGCTGTTGGTTGTGCCAGACAAGCTGCACCAGTATACTGGGCAATTCATGCAGCAGCATTTCATACAAGCCCAGCAAATTTTAAGGCAGGATTTTTAAAAACAGAATTAGTTTTAGTTGTGCATCCTCCCCAGGTGAAGAAATTTAGCTGAGGGGGTAGCCCTGAACTTCAGGCCTAAAATGAAATCAGTGCACATGGCAGGCAAGGGGCTGACTCCCAGTCATGTAAAGGCAGTACACACAGCCAGGGTCCTGCTGTGCTGCCTGTGCCTTCCTGCAGCCTCCCTGCCCTGTGCCCTTTGAGGCTTTGATGGGTCTGGGTACACATCCCTGCTGCTGAGGTTCACACGTTGAACGTCTGCCTGGTGCAGGCAATAAGTGATAACTACATAAGCAGCTAGGAAATCACACCTGCCTGCGCCTGCAGGGACTCAACGCCTGGCTGGGGTGGAGGTGGGTTCAGTGCTTAATTGGGCAATGAAAGGTTGCCAGCTCCCTTTGGCTTGCAGGTAAGGGAGCTAGCTGCTGATGGCACAGCTTCACTCACCTGGGAGGTTTCCACAGGCCTGGGAAGCCAGGGGCAAAATAAGATGTAGCCTGATAGAGGGTGGGAGATACTCCCATTGTGAGCTAATTATAAATCTCCCAGGCAGGTTTTGACTTGTTTTGCTTCATTTTTGTGGGCCACTCTTTTACCAAGGAGAAATAATGAGAGCACTACTCTGCTTACAGAAGTGGAGCCCAGTCTTTGTCAAGTCTTTTCCATCAAATAGTATTGCACCATACTAGCTCTGCCTGCTGAAGTATTTCAAAGCTATGTGTAAGTGTTAATGAAGACTCATGTCTCAGTGAGGAAGAAGTGATCCCCTTCTGCTAATGCGGAAATAACAGGTAAGGACAACTCAGATGAAGGTTCAGATGCATACAAAGAGATGCTGGCAAAGCTGCAATGGGAACATGTCTCCTGGCTCTTAAGACCGTGCCCGTGTCCTTGTGCAGAGTGGCCTCTTGCCATTTTAAAGGTCATTTCTACGTCTCCCTGTGGCTTCAGAGCCCAGTTGCTTGTCTGTGCTGCACACACAGTGGCCTGGGTTTTGTTCCCAGGACTTCTGAGGTGCAGGGGTTCTGGAAGGCAGCACAGGAAATCTGGCTTGTATGTGCAGCCCATGTGATGTCTGAACATCAGCTTTCAGTGCAGGACCAGCAGAGACTAACTGTGGGTGTTTGACATTACCAGGCCAGCTGATGGTCCAGTGTCACTCCCAGTCAGTACCTACTTCAACAAAATGTGGTCCCACCAGCGGAAAAGAGCTGAATGAGGCTTGAAGGTATGTTTAGCTGCCCATGCTGCACCAGCCTCTGAACACAGAGTTCATGGAGGGCTGCGTGTATGCTTTGTACAACTTAACAGTGGTTTCCCTCTCCCTTAGTAAGGAGGGTTATACAATTATCTTGTGTTATTCCCATTTGCTTTTGTGATTTTTTGTTTGGAGGTAGCATAAGAAATCAGGCCAAACCCAACCTTTACCCTTGACAGATGGTAAATAGCCATAAGGGATTTGCTGTGCTGACAGCCCTTCAGAAGAGTGAAACTCTTTGCTACCTAATTCCTCTTTACCACTTAAAATCTCCCCCACCAAAGAGAATACCTTCCAGTGATTTGTGCCAAAATCATTCCTTATTAGAAAAAAAACACATAGAACATGACTGTAATAACAACGAAGTGCTTTCACCAGTGAGCCTAGTGAAACCTCAGATAAAGGAAAACAATTGCATTTTGCAGATGGAGACACTGGAAGTGGAGACACTGACTAATTCCGGATTATAAAATAATTCTTGATAGTGTTACCTGATTCCTACTGCTGTGTTTTAACAGCCACATCCTTTCTTACTGTATGTATTCAATTCTTTCCCCCTGAATACCCTTCAAGTTTTCCATAATCATAAATAAAACAGTGGAACAATGGCCTTGACTGGTCTAACAATAACAATGAAGAGTCTCTGATGCAGAGCTGAAGGCCAGAACTATTTTCTGTACACATTAAGGGCCTTTGGGGACACTTTCTGGTATGTTTTTGTAGCAAGCTGTGGTATTTGAAGCTGTTGCTGTTGAATAAATTAGTATTTATTTCAAGAAGCAATGAGGAATACCAAATAAATAGTATCACGTGGCGTGTGGGAGCACAGAAATACATGTTTTAAAAATGGAAGCAAAGTGGTTCAGCTAAAAGGACTTTTTCACATCTAAGCCTAGTCAGAACCTCAAGGTTAGGACAACTTCTATTTTCCACTGACTATTTTTCTCTTGCATAGGCTTCTTCATTTCCCGGTTCTGGCAAGGGCTGAAAGCAGAAGGGTACACTGTAAACTAAAATAGGTTAAACTGAGTTTTTGAGCACATTTGCTGAGGGAGTGTGGGGTGTACAGCTGTGCTGTCAGACTGCCTGGAGCCCATGGCCAAGTGCAGCAGATGGGACCAAGCACCCTTGTGGAAGAGGAAGGAGATCCCAGCACACACCTAAGCACACCCTCCCTGGTGCTGCTCCAGGGCCCAGTCACTGCAGGAGCCCTGCAAGGCCAATGCCTGTAGCATGTCGAGCACACTCAGCTCTGGCAGCCTCCCCTGTCTACTCTAGCTCAACGAACATCAACTGCACCATGCTCTGTCAGGACCCAGGCTCACTCCTGTTTCACACCCAGTTCTCACTTTTCTCTCCTGGGTTCAGGTGGAAGAGCTGCACTGCAGGGCTTCTGTTTTCCTTCCTTATGATCCTTTAATTTTTATTTAGGTATTACAAAATTCCTTTCTTACAACAGAAACGGTTTATCTCCCTTTTAGCATAAAGGCTAAGTTGTTCGAATATATAATTTCTTTGCTGTCCCAAAATGAATTGTTGGGTTTTGACACATGGATGACAGATACTTGAACAGGCAAGTGGCTGATTTCACAGCAAAAGTTGAAGCATCCTGATGAATGCTTTGTGAGTAAATGTCTCTGATCAAAGTTGAATACTAGCCCTTTACTGACCTGGTGGAAGGGATTGCTATTGGGAATTAAAAATAGTCTCCTGGCTTTGCTAAGGGGAAAATCGGAGTCAGAAAATGTAATGGTCAGGATACACTCTTCCCCATCCCGCTTTCTTCTTTTTTTTAGAGGGGCAGGATCCTCTCCACACAGGTGGCATTCCAGCAACACTGTCATATTCCAGGTTGTGCTGCAGCCTCAGCAATGGTTAATCTTTGGGCTCTGCAACCTTGGTGCACTACATGAGAGTGCTTGAAGGAGAGCAGAGCTAAGGATACAGTGAGTCATGCTCATCCCTGTGGAAATCAATGCAATTGAGTCAGGGACACACTAAGGCTGGTGAAAAGAAAAGCAAAAGCTCTGAATGCAAAGCCGCATCCCCGTTCCCTTGATACCTGTTGGCTGGCGGGATCTCGCCTCTTTCAGGTAGTAGAGGGCCTTGTTGAAGTCACCCAGGTGGTAAAATGCCACTCCTGATCGATAGAGTGCCTTGAAGTTCTCTCCTTCTTTCTGAAGCACTTTGAGGCAGTACTCCTTGACTCGCTCATAGTTCACCAGCTCGGCCTGGAGCAGGCAGGCTACAGGGGATGGGGATGACGGGCAGACAGAGAGACAGACAGACAGACAGACAAACAGGAGAACATTAGTGCTGTATTTCTTCCTGCTCCTGCAATCTGCATGGGGGAAGAGAGCAGCTTAGGTGAGGGAAATGACTCAGCCCCGTGATTCAGAAAGGGTGCAGTCATATGGATTGTTTGCCAAATCCAATTGTTCGCAATTTAAATACCAACGCTTCTATTTTTGGCACTGCAAAGTGAAGGGATTGTGTTTGTTCTGGGAGGGGGGATGTAAACATCCCTCCACAGAGCAGGAATACTGTGGCAGTAACTGGCTTTAGATCATTTGTAGTAAAATCACTGCTTGGACTGAAGGCTGGAGCTCAGGAAAGCACAAAAAGGCAGTCAAACAGTTATCTGACAAAGGAAAAGGGGATTAAACTGGATTGAATTTTGTATTTGTCTTAATCCAAGGCTGTTAGATTTAGATTTGCAAATAATATGTATATGTCTTTTATGCAGGGGGTCCTGCATGGAGTTTTGCTATAGGAAATGATAAAGAGCTCTGCTCTGTTGGAATGTGCTGCTAGCAAACCAGAGGCACCTGGACCTGTAGGAACAAATGTGCTACACTGTGTGCTTTCTATAAAGTACTGCAACACAAGTTCCTCCCAAGAGGTTAGTTCTTCTGACTTCCTAAAGGAAAAGGTAAGCACAGTAAAGAAACAGTGTGCTGAGGACTTTGTGTGCTGGAGGATAATTGTTGCATAAATGTCAAGGAGCTGAATAAAATTCCCATAGTGACTTTCCCACAACTAGGACCAAAATAAAGAGGGAAGGGGGAGATCCTTGGGGCAAGCTTTACAGCCCTGTTCATGGCTTTCCATAGTGCTTACTCTTGGACTACACTTCATTAGGTGTATTGGGCATTAAGAATGGTTTGGGGAATACTGACAAGAATAGGACGTGGTGCAGTCACAGTCTTCGGGGACATGTGCTGTCTACGAGCCCACCTGACGCTGCAATCTAAGGCAACTTTGGGAATAACAGAACTCGGGGAAGGCAGGCAGGATGCTGCTGCAAGGAGCAGTTCAGAAGCTGGCAGTGACAAGTGCCAGGACATGGAGAGAAATTTCCCATGGCAGGTGGTGTTACTCAGCGTGTCTCTGGCAAGGAGGAGACTTGCTGCTCCTGGAAATCTAAGTTGTCACAGTTCAGGTCTCACCAATGAACAGGCAGACTTCATTTTTTGCATGGCAACTGCAACCTGCAGCTGAGAGGATAGGATGCTGGGTCATGATAGTTCTCGATTGCCTTCCCCTGCACCCCTAAAGTAAGCCCTGTACCCTCTCTGTACTTCACTTTACGTTTCATGAGTAGGAGGTTGGCTAGATGATCTCCAGAGATTCCTTCCAATCTAAATTAGTCTGAGTACATGAATCGGCTAACATGGACAGAACGCATTCCTAATCCAAGTACACATTTACAGCTTAAACAGCTAACTGGGAACAATCATAAACAGGCTTTTATCAGTAGAGAACTGGTGGTACAGATGTGTTGAGCAAGGACTGCAGAACTATCCCCACTGCAGGTATGTTTGGTTGAGTGACACAGTAATTACTAACAGCTTTGTCCCGTTTGTTTTAATGACGGACTCTCAATATATTTTACCAGTTCCTGCCATTAAAGTCCATAGGTATTTCAAAGGCATCTGATTGCTTGCTTATTTGATTGCCAGTTAAAAAACACATATGTTTCTAAGCTTAGCAGCATTTCCTTATCTAGAATTTGTCCCTTCCTATTTGTCAAACATTGATTTTTCTCACTCTGTCTCTAATGGAGCATGAAATGGCTGTGCCTTGTTTTCCTTTATTTTTCAAAGCTATTAAAAAGATGGCTGTGTAAATTTACTGCTGGCTTCACAGCCCTGGAAATGGGATTGCTTTGTTTATCTGCTGACCAGTAGCATGTACAGCAGTGGCAGTAGCTTTCTGCATGCTGCCAATCTGATCCAGCCTTTCACGTTCTGTGAAACTGCCTTTCAGAGCAACTGAGGGGGGTGGATTTCATTCTCTCTGTTCATTTATTACTTGGTATTTCCAGTCAGAGGCATAGAAAGGACTCTGTGAAAAATGACAGGCAGTCTATTCATGTCTATTAACTCAGAAGTTCCATACTGGACTTGCTTCATGGATTGATTTAAAAGAAAAGAAAAAGTCTCCTGCACCCTGGTAACTCGCAAACCCAAATGGGCTCCCAGATGCCCAGCTGGGTTCTCTGTGACTCGCACTAACAGTAAAGGTTCTGCAGGGCATCCCCACTAACCATGCACACAGCAGAGACAAGTCAGTACCACATGGCTAGCAGCAGAGACGCGTGTTTATCTGAACAAAGCAAGCAGATGGATGTGCATGAAACAGTTCTGCTGGAAGAGTTGGCCATTTGGAGAGCCAGCACTGGAAGAGGCTGTTGGAAAATGAACCTGGAGGGAGTATCTCCCTTATAAATATTTAGACGTGATTGCTTTCAGTTCTTGGTGGACTGAAATAATCTTAATGGACTGTGATTCAATGCAAATATTGAGGCTGTTAGTAACTCAGCTTTCAGAAATGGAAGAGACATGGAACCCTTGTACTTTCTACTTAAGTCAGTCCAGAGAGAGCTGTTTTGAAAACATGCTGTTTTCCTAAACAGACATGTGCATCTCTGGGAGTGTGTGTTTACCATGTCAGCACTTCATCACCATCCTCAGTTCATAATATCCTTTTGAGGAACAAAAGAGAGCTCACTTAAAGAGATCGAATCCAGGAGGTTCCTCACACTTTCTCGAAATTGAATGGTCTTGATCCCATACAGCACCATTTCTAGAAGCTCTCTAGTGATTAGAAGAGTGTCCTTTACTTGTAGATGCAAACCTACAGTTACCTGTTCCCTGCAGGTATCATTGTCATTGTGATACAGCATCTGGTGCCTATATCTCTCCAACTCAAAATGTAGGGTGTCCTGCTTCTCCGCCATGTGAGATGGTTCTCATCATACTTGGTTATCATTCTCAATTTGGCAGCTGACTTATTGTGTCAGCTTAAGCAATAAGAAACTCCTAATTTTTAAAACCATGTATGTCACATGGTGATGAAGAGTCCCCATCTGCTGTAAATAAGCCATCTGAAACTACTGGGTGAAATGTGCTATGGGGAGGGGGAAAAGGTTAATGCTATTAGCTCCAATTGAGGGGTCCTGTCTATCATGCTTCCCAACTGACTGCTGATGTTTAAGCAAGGAAATAGGAAGTTTGGCTGGTTTTCTTCGTAAGAGGAGTGTTAAACCTGAATTCTAATTTGTGGACTCAATCTATGCCAGCCAGTTCCAAGAGATGAAGCAATTTGAGTGGTGCAGTACAGATCTGGTACCAGTAGATAACTGCACTGCTAAAGCTAATTTGTGTGGCCCTGCTCAGCACAAGGTTAAGTAAAACAAAGGTTAGAGCACCTGTAGAGCCAAAATACATCTATATCTTTAATCCTTATCAGTAGCTGTAGTTAGTGATAGGTGGGAAGTTGTAACTAAATCCTGGCACTTGAGGGATCTGGCTTCTGTTTTATTGCACCCAGAATTAATTTTCAATTTCAGAGTATCTTTCAGGTAGATATCTAGGTTTGACAGGTGTCAGGGAGAAAGGAACTATGACAGCCCTTTTCTCCCAAAGGCTAATTACTTTAATTGTTTAAGAAATGTCACTACATTTCCATACTGATTTTTTCATTTGTTTTGTTTCGCTGCAGTTACTAGCCACTGGCACATTACTAGCCACACCTTTGCTACCCTGAAAAGCTTGTGTTTCCTTGTTGCACTGGTACCCTCAGACTCTGTTCAAGTCACTCTTTCACCCTTTAATAGCCTGCATAAAGAAGTGCCTGGAGTTACTGAAAACCCCGTATTTTTCAGCTTTTCTCACTTTTATAGCTGTTCTCTGAGCCCTCAAAATGAAGTTCAGCTGGAAGTGCTGTCAGTTACCATCTTACCAGAGAAACCTCTTCTGTGTGAATACCTCTGTGCGTTATGCAAATAGCTCAGTTTGGCCTGAAATTTTGGCTTCTAATTTTGTCTGAGCTAAGAACTAAGTCTGGAAGTAGGATGTAAGAGTTTTAACATGGAGATTTTCAACAACAATATGAAGAACCTTGCCTACCTGGCAATTTTCATCAAAGGATAAATCTGCATGCCAGAACAATCCTCCAGACATAGTTTATGCCAGTGGTTAAACTCCCGCTGTAGGCAAGGCTCAAGACCTATCCATGTTACAGACCACTCAGAAGCGGGAGCCAAATTACCATGCAAAGAATGTTAGCATATCCCTACCCTGTGGCATGTTCTTTGGGCACAGCAGTGTGTTAGTCATAACAGGAATTCCATTTGCTGTTGTTTTGGGAAATGAAAATGCCCTTGTCCTACAGGAGTATCTTGGGTTGCATATTCATATTCCACAAACTCCTGTCTTGTTTGCAGTCACCCAGGTAAGCTCGTAGCACTGCATGTTTTTAAGATTGTCTTGGTCCTTCCAATGTAGGAAAGAGTCAGTTGCTTGTAATTTTACTGGTCTTGCAAGTTTTTGGACTAAAATAATCCATGTGCCATGTCTGCCTTTAATGTCTGCTTGTCAGCCAAGACTGATAGGGTATTTTTGAAAAACAGGCTAGGGAAACATACCTTATTTTTCCTTTGTTAAAGATCTCTGGTGACTGTCTCTTTGGATTTGCCTCATGCCCTCTCATCCTTTGGCTTTGCAAACTGAAATCTGGCAGATATCATTTGTGTCAAGCAGGTGCCTTCTGTTATCCCTAGGGTAATCTATAGCTGGCCAACTGATAACCTTCTGAAAATAAAACCAGTATAGGACTGCAGATAGTACACTGTAGAGATGCTCTAGAATTTGGTACCCAAATCCTTTGAATACTCAGTCCACCCTGGGCACAATCTGAGCTAGGAAAAAGCAGGGATTTGGAAACTGAGAAAGCAAAAAAATTCTCTTACTGGCTTACTGGTCATAGGAAGAAAGAAGAGCAGAAAGTGGAAACCAAGCTGAGAGAGGTTGTCTTGGTTATGACAGAAAGGCAGGGAGACAGATGCTTGCAAGGGGAGGAGATCAGGGCTGAAAGCCACAGGGGGACAGAGCCACAGAACTGCTGGTGTGGTGAAAGGGGTGTATGAGTGGGGAGTCAAGATCTATTGTGGAGGCAAAGTCTGGGGGGAGAAGGGGAGTTCAGAGTTTGGGATAAGGTGCTAAGGACATACGGACACAGTGCAGCCAGCCTGGGGACCAAGAAGAGCATTTATAACAGTGAAATCCAAGCAGAGCAAACTAACCTCCCTATGTGGCAGCAGCTCCTCTAGCAGATCACTTAACCAAAATCATATCCCTGCTCTGAATCATCTTTTTGTCTGCTGACTATATTCACCAAGGGATACTAATCTGTAATGATGAAAGCTAGCCCTTGAAATATTCCCTGGAGACTGGAACGGGTATTTTATGCAGGAGCTAATAGCAAATCATCTGTTTGAACCACTCTTCATATACTCATGCAAGAATGGTCTGAATTCAAGTGACCTGTGCTTTCCTTTTGTTAAGAACAGCCTGGAGAAGAGAAGCTTCGTGGGAACCTCATAGCAGCCTTCCACTATCTGAAGGGGGCCTACAAGGATGCTGGAGAGGGACTCTTCATCAGGGACTGTAGCAATAGGACAAGGGGTAATGGGTTTAAACTTAAACTGGGGAAGTTCAGGTTAGATATAAGGAAGAAGTTCTTTACAGTGAGGGTGCTGAGGCACTGGAACAGGTTGCCCAAAGAAGTGGTAAATGCTCCATCCCTGGCAGTGTTTAAGGCCAGGTTGGACAGAGCCTTGGGTGACATGGTGTCCCTGCCCATGGCAAGGGGGTTGGAACTAGATGACCTTAAGGTCCTTTCCAACCCAACCCATTCTATGATTCCCTTAGACTGAAAACCAACCACAGCCTGTATTGATTTGTTTAGTTGCAAAGCAGAGAGAAGTAGCTAAACCCATTACTGCTTAAATCTGAAGTGAATATTCCCTCTTTACGGTATTTATTCTTGTCTCTACTGCTGGAGCTTAACAGCCTACGTGGATTATTACTCCTTACAGCCTATGTGGATTATTACTCCTTAGCAAGTGCTAGGTACTCTAACCACTACAAACTCAATGTCTATTTCACAACCTGACAGTATCATTCCCAGAAATAACCACAAATAAACTCTGCAAAATACTTCGCTTTCTGATATGATCTTGCCCTAACTATAGCAGTCATCAACTTGCTTAATATATGTTTAAATTGCAGGAAGGTGGTGCATATTCTTACTCTGGTTCTACTTTGGAAAACATACGATTGATGCTTTGATACAACTGCTTCAGTATTTTATTCAGACATTTGATTAAGACCTTTACATATCATTGAACAGGCTTTGTTATCATCTGTTTGAGACTTGAAATAATAGGGCAGACTAGGAGAGTCTCGTATTTCCATTACTTCAGAAGGCTTGGCATCCCTCATGGTGATGTTCTTCCTCAGAAAAGTGAAAACATGATAGTGACAAGTTCTGGTTTGATGTGCTTGGGAAGAAAAATTACTGGAATATAACCAAAAAGAAAAAAAAAAAAAAAAGAAAAAGAGGGGGGAAAAAGGGGAAAAAATATTTGAAAAAATATTTATCTTTATTTATCTTTGAATAGACAGCAATCTTCTAACCATGCCATCAATGGATGTCTCATTAATCTTTGCATGCTGCAGTCTGTGTAAATGGTGTTTACAAGGAGCACATGGAGCTTGCTGTGCCCACTGGAAGAATTAGAAGAGATACCATTACCACATGAGACTGAAAATTTCACCCATGTGTTAATAATATAAATTATAATTAATTTCTAAAATAAATCAGGCAGAATATGCCTCATAAGATGATGCTGAAAATGTATAGGGTTATCTTAGTTTAAAAGTAAATTTGGACTTGAACTACTGTAATTTTAATGTACACCATAAAAAGATCTGGACTACTGGAATGCTTAACCAAATTTCTCTGAAGTTAAAGTTCTTGATCCTGAGTGTGCAGACTGCACAGGCTATATGTGGATGGCACAGCCCAATTTTTAACCTATGTTTTAACCTGTGTTAAATTTTCAATCTAGATTGGCACTTGAAGAAGCTATATAACATACAGGAATGTAAGGAGCCCACAGCAAGGGAACGGAGCAGAGGTGGTAAAGCATCCTTATCTGCACTGAACTCCATGTGTGCTGTGCCTTTCAAGAATGCAACCCCGCATTCCTCAAAAGAGGATGTTTAAAGCTTTTTTATTTTTTCCAGAGAAATGCTGCATGCAGTTTCACTACTAGGCAGAGACACTAATTAGGATCTGCAGTTTCCAAACAATCTCTTCCCTGAAATACTTCTCTTCTCTCTCTATAGTCCAAGCTTGCAAACAAAGAGGATTTTCTGGCTTCTCACCAATATAAAGCTAATTATAGACAGCTTGATAATGTCTGGCAATAATCTGATCAGCTGACTCCTAGTTCCCGGACAACCTTAATGGGATGAAAAGGGAATATCAGAATGACAGTACAGCTTTACAGCTTTACAGCCAGTGGCTCTCATTTATTCCTCTCCAGGTACCAAAAACGCCTAAACATGCCCGTATGTTTCTGCTTGCAGGGAAACGTGTGGAAAATTAAAACCCAAACTGTACGACAGGTTGTCTCTCTCCATAGGGAGGGATTAATGCTAAATGAGGTGTGGATCCACAAATGTTTGGAGAGCCCAAAGAAAGCCATGTTTCCAAGCAGCCTTCCTCTCCTTCTCAGCCTGCCTCTCAATTTGTAGATGCCGGCTGTTCCTCCCCATCCTGCCTGCTTGGCCATGCTCTCTTTCCGGTACATGGTATGGTTTCCTTCAGTTCTCTGCTGCTCCCGAGTCCTTCATACCTCTTCTACAAGAAAGACTCTGATTCCACTGT